TTGTATGTTGATGTGGTTTTGATTAGTTGTTTAAGCATGGTAGTGATTTTATAGTATGAGATGAGAGGTTGATGTTTTGAGAGGTTTATATAGGCATGTGTGTGCATGAATTTGGTGAATGATGCATTGTACACCATTATACTGAATTGGTACTAAGAGGGAAGAAGACTGATCACCTTCCTTCTCATCTTGGTTAAGTGAAGTATTATGGCATGCAACTCATTATTCCAAGCATATGTATCTGAAAGTGATGTTTGTTTGTGTGTTAATACATGTTGCATTTCATATGGTGGTGAGTTGTGCGTATTGCATGGAAAGGAATAGGATGGGTAGGAGATTGAAGGATAGGAACATAAGATAAATTTGGTCTTTTTGAGTGAATTTGAGGTTATTTTAGAGCTTAGGGAGTTGAAATACTTCAAGGAATATAATATTTGAGGTGAATAGTTGCTAAGGGTGAAATTTGGAAATTTTAGAAAATGGCTATATATATAGGGACTTTAGGACTGGAGGGTCTTATTTGTCAGACAATGACAGTTCTAGAGAGAGAAAGTAGATAGAGGGGCTCTGTTCCAGAGGGAAGTTAAGGACACATTTGGGAAGCTTATCAAGCCAGGATCAATCTTCACAACTAGAGTATTAAGAGATTTAGCCTCTAGAAGCTTGAAAAGTGAGATTTAAATTTGAGTTGGGATTTGAGGGTTTTGTCCAAATCTTACATTTCTGAGGTTTCTAAGGTAAGGGTAGTACTTATAAGACTTAATATAGTATGTATGGGTTTGAAATATCATATTAATTCCATGATTTATGCCTGATTAAGGATGGATTGAGGGGAAAGGGTTTTGGTTGGGGTTTCTTCATGATTTCCATGGATTAATGGTTAAAACTTGATTTTATTGCTTAAAATGTTTTTTTTGGATATTTTTTATGCTTTATAATGGTTCTAACTCTTGTAATTTGGATTGGATTCATGATTGGAAGGAATTTTCAAGGTTTTCGAGGGTTTCTGGTTGTAAATGCGTCGGGCGCAGTTCTTGGCGTCGGGCGTGAATTCATCAGAGACCATCATTGCCAAATCACGCCGGGCGCGAGGTTAATCGCGCCGGGTGCAATTTGAAATGAGAATCCCTGGGTGAATCACGCCGGGCGTGGGGAGAACCATGTCGGGCGCACTATCAGACGTGGTCCTTGTGTTTTGGTTACTGATATTGCGTCGGGCACAGCATAATTGCACCAGGCGCAATGACCTCTGTAGGTCTCTGTTTGAGTTTTGCGCTGGCGGGATACTAGTGAGCCGGGCGTGAGTATGTTGCTCTTGAAGTCTTCATGAAAGTTGTAGACTTGGATGTTAGCTTCCCAATGGCGTTGGAATCACCCAAAAAGGAGGTCTAGAACTCCAGATATGACTGTTTTAGTGAACAGGGGTCAAGCTGCCAGCATTGGTTATAGCTATTGCGGTTTTTAGAATTTTTAACAAAGTAGATGATGGAATTAGGACTTGATGTCTTCATAAGAGTTATAGGAAATCTTCTTATATTTCATATGAGATAAATATGAGCATCATAGGAGTAGTATAACTCTTTATATGCAGTTTTATGTGAAGATTGTCATTTCACAAAGAGTGATTTGGTTAAGTTGATAGTTGTTTTGGGTGTTTAATTATTTATGTTGTTATATTGAGTAATTTGGCATGGTTATGGAAAATTTTGTATGTAATTATGGAATATGATATGTGTGTTTGGTTTGGAAAGCTAATAGGACTTAGAGAAGTAAGGTTATGGTATGGATTGGGAGATCTCTTGGTGAGATCAGGATATAATCTTTGGGAAAATATGGAATTTGGGAGTCCCATGGTGAGGATTCCAATATGGAACTTTTCCAAAGATTACATAATAAACCACTTTAGATGTTAGGTGGATTCTGAAGTACCTCTAAGTATTATATTTGCTACCGGTATGGGGGCAAGGCCGAGTCATACTGATGGATGAAGTGGCCGCGATCACTAGGGTTACGTGACGACATAACCCAACTATATATTTTCCATGAGAGGTTAGGTGTGTGACATGGGCAGGTGACATGTTCACGAATTCAACACTTGGTTTCGATGTGTTGAGGTTAACATTTGG